TCAATATTGTTCTGATTTACCGTTCCGCTTCGAAAGATGCAGTCATACAAATCGGCCATGGATGTCAAAAATGAGACTAAGCTTCAGTAGGCGAACAATATCAGCCCAATTGAATGCAAGAGTCTGCTCAGAAGTCGGGTGCAATTAGGAGTCCGAGATGCTCCATAATTCCCACCGCTAGTTCGGATGGACACTATATGCAACCGGATTGAAGATCACATTTGCTCAATTGAGTCAGCAATTTTGTACTCTGATGTATTTTCTAAAGGATTTGATGAAGTGATTCAGTGTTCCATATAAAGCTTTCCCGTGTGAGATAGAGATCCATCGATAATGGAACACAAGTGAATAGATTCATAATCAGACATGTATATCACCACTTGAGCTTAAATGACTCATCAGACCACCCGGTTAGTACATTCGGACCATATAGGAGTCAAACGAGCTGTCGATTGGCTGGTGACAAAAAGATGAGATTGTCGCGGCTAAGAGAGCGTCAAACGAGCGTTCAAACATTCTATAATCAAATGAGTAATGGAAGATTTGATTCAATTTCAAATGGGAATTCGTAGTAGTAGTCAGGTTGTGGATGTTTCCAATCGAGTCATAACCCCCGGAGGCCAGTGCTGAGCTGAGCGAGGTTTGTGGCCTGCAACAAGCTAGCAAAGATGGGTTGTGCTATATCGTGTAAATGGAAAATGAAAAAAGCGGTCTGACCAGCTGCCCGGTGGCCAAGTGGGTGGCATGCTTGCGTTCTGCCCATGAGGTCCCAAGTTCGATCCCCCCCAACCGAAAAACCCTAATGACAGGTGAAACAGTTCTTTGAGCTACGGGGAGGGGAGGTTTAACCGGTTGATGGATTACATTTCAGTATTAGGAAAACTAACCAAACAATATTCGAACATATGATACGGAACGAGAACTAACTTAACTCCCAGGACCCATCGTTCTGGTGGATTGAGGGCAAACCAGAGGACGGTAATATCGATTTTTAGTAATGATAGGTGAACATGTATCGGAAGAAATGGTTGCTGACCTTCAGTTTATGCAAACACGTCATATCGTGGTAAAATCAGGTGCGCTTTACACAGAATTGCATGTCTATCCTATCGGGTAGTGCCCAATTCACATATGATCATGTTTTTCTGTCCAAAGTTGAAACGAAATAACTGCTTGAAGTTCATGAAATGAAAGTGTCAAATCCGAACAACGTTTGGAGTGTATCGAAAAATCGATGCGCCATGTGATATGTTTGATATAAGTTGAAACTTTGAAAACACAGCTATGTCCGTACAGATGAAAATGAAATGAAATGAAGTTTAGATGCGCCATTTTATCTCTCTCTCGTGATGTAATGTGACGAACCGTAGTCTGTTTGCATAGACACAATATCGCATTGCGACAATACAAGGCTCTAACAGCGTAGCCCAATCTAAAATCTAGATAAGAGAGGNCGGCAATTCATTCAAACACTGGAGTAAAACAGCTGATTGACGTCTACCTGGTTGAGTTGAACCGGATATTAAGGATCGGAACTTGGCGTTTAGGGTTTCAAAAGGATGAGCTTAAACATAATAAATGTATTTTACTTCTTTTTATTTATTGAATATGCAAATGTACAGTCAGCATACAGGAAGGGGGCTGCCGTCATACAAAGGCTGCCTGGGAAGACGGGCTGCGGTGGAGCGG